TCACTGAGGAGGAGGAAGATGTCCCTGAGGTGGGGGAAGGCATCCCTGAGGTAGAGTGGGATGTCACTGAGGAGGAAGAAGATGACCCTGAGGCAGAGTGCGGAAGCTCTGAGATGGAGAAGAGTGGTCCTGAGTGGAAGAAAGGGTCCCTGAAGTGAAACGGGATGTCCCTGAGGTGGGCGGAGTATCCCTGACGTGGAGCGGGATGTCACTGAGGAGGAGGAAGGCGTCCCTGAAGTGGGAGAAGGCGACCCTGAGGTGGAAAAACCTGTCCCTGAGGTGGGGGAAGGCACAGCCGAAGCGGGGAAGGCCGCACTGCCTTCTCTCCGAGAGGCCACGTTGCCATCACTGACCCCACGATATCGTCGCAGGACACCAGTGAAGTCGCCCCAGGAGCCTCTGCCCACCTTGGTTTCAGTTCCTGAGGCCCAGCTCCCAGGACGCCACGCGCTTACCTCGCTTACCTCGCCCGACGCTCCTCAAGCCTCCGCGCCACTACGTGGCCCTCAGGCGCATGCGCAGTATGCCAACAAGCCTGCGCCCTCTATGGCGGGGCAAGGGAGGGACCTGTTTGAAGGGCGGAGCCAGAGTCCTGAGATTGGGACCTGGGAGGGACCTGAGGCAGAAGCCTGAGAGATGGGGCGGAGCCAGAGCCTTGCCTGGAAGAAGCCTGAGGGCAGGGCCTTGGGAGGGGTGGAGCCAGAACCTGCCTGGAAGGGGCCCGAGGGCGGGGCCATGGGAGAGGCGGAGCCTGGGTTGAGGGCGGGGCCACGGAAGGGGTGGAGCCAGAACCTGCCTGGAAGGGGCCTGAGGGCGGGGCCATGGGAGAGGCGGAGCCTGGGTTGAGGGCGGGGCCACRGGAAGGGTGGAGCCAGAACCTGCCTGGAAGGGGCCTGAGGGCAGGGCCATGGAGGGGCGGAGCCTGGGATGAGGGCAAGGTCTTGGGAGGGACAGCCCCAGAACCTTGCTGAAGGTTTGTCCCTCACCCTTCTCACTGTCCAGTTTTCATTCTCTTTGTGGTCCCTGGGCCCAGATGAGGCATGTGGCACATCCCTCACCCTCTTCGCCATCCCTGAGCCTAGCTCAGGGTCATCGCCCTCTGCCTAAGATCATCTGTATGGCCTCTACCAGTTTGCTGGCCTCTGCCCATGACAGTCCACTGAGCCTTTATGGCCATTCTGCAGCAGAATCCCTCTCCCTCACTGGTGCCTAGGCCCAAGCACAGGCAGCTGTTCAGAGCCCCAGCCACAGGCCTATCCCTGGACCCAGGCCCTGGGCAGGCCTTGTTCAGTGCATCTCCCAGGCTCCAGGATGAAGGGAGCAGAGGACAGGGAACTGGGAGCAGCCAGGGAACTGCCCACCCTCCCACTCTACCCTAGGGATGAAGACATGCCTGAGACAGGGTAGGCAGTGTATGTGCTGGCCACAATTTATTGTTAGAGAGTGAGAGTCAGGAGCCCCTTCCTCCAGGTTGACCCCCAGATTCCTGAAGCATTGTCCCTGTCAGGGGGTCTTGCAACAGTCACTCCCTACTACCCCTCCCGAATGTACCCCACCTCCTCTCGAAGTTACAAAAGTGATACATGCTCATTGCAATGGCTCAAGGACAACAAAGGGCAAATAGGACTCCTGCCTCCCAAGGTCTCTGCACGGGGATACTCTTGAGGATTCATTCCCGGAGAAAGAAACTCTTTCCTCTTAAGTCGAGAACTGAGGCAGCTTGCGGCTATAGAGAAGGTTTCTGTCAAAAGAAGGTCTGAAGAAGACTTGCAGAAATGGGAGATGGAAGGAGTCTTGTCTGCATGGTTCTCAGGTCCCAGGTCTGCCAAAGGTCCTCCAAGCAAGGCACCTGCCCCCAGGTGCACATGTCCATGATTTCCTTTAGTTGCGTTGGTTTCACTTCAGCTACTGTGAATTGGGTTAATATTATTTGCAACCAAGAGGATCCTGGAAAATGTACACAGAGCCAGAAATGGCTCTCACCGAAGTCCTTGGGGGTCCTCCACATCGCCTCTCCACACACCCCCTGAGGGTCAAGAAGGGGTGGAAGGCAACTGTTCTGGAGAAGGCTATTACCGCTGGACTCTGGCTGCCCACTCCGCAGGCTGCTCTGGAACAGGTGCAAAGCCACAGGCTCCGCATCCCAGGACTTTCCACTGTCCCCCAGCAAGCCACTCTGAGGGCCTGAAAAAGGAAGAAGTGGCAGAGCTSGAAGCCATCCCACGCTGCCTGACCACCATGGTGGCTTTTCCTGCTGTGGTAGCACCCCACAATGGCTAATGAAATTGACCTAGAAGGTTTCCACTGACATCGTTAGGGGAGAAGGACCAGTGCTGCACTTAAAAAGTGGTGTCATGACCCTTGTCATCAAAGTGTCCCACAGCCACAGGCACGCAGAACAAAGTGGTCTTCATGACACATCATCAAAAGTGCACACACGCACGGCCACAGGCACACAGAGACTCACCCAGGAGGCGGGCAGTGGGTGTGTGCCCAGTGCCTTCTACACTGATGGTCACCAGCATGAGATTCCAGCCTCTGCTGCACAGTCAACCACATCCTCCCTGTTTCACTTCAGACCTTCGGGAGGTGGTCAGCTAAGACTTTCTATCGAGGGGCCAAGAGTACATATATCCTGCGATGTGGGCCATCTGGTCTCTGTCCCAGCAGCTGGATGCTGCCTTCCTGAGCAGGGAAGCAACTGCACACGATTTGCTGATGAGCGTGTGGCGGTGCACGGGACACCTGCCCGTGTGGGCTGCACCCACCCAGTCCACCCTCAGATGTATTCACTGTGTCAGGTCCCGCCAGCCCAGATCCAAGCTGCTTTCTGCCCTGGAAGRCGTCTACACAGAAATGCAAACACATATACCTCCCCCCGCCCCCCGTGGTGCTGGAGATCAAACACAGGGCCTTGCACATGCTAGACGAGTGCTCTACCACTGAGCTACATCCCAGCTCACTTTTTTTTTTTTTAAAAAAAAGGCATACTCAGTAAAAATTCAAACTGTGTCAATTTGAAAGAGTACAATATAAAAGTAGCAAAAACTTTGGTTTATATACAAAATTGGAATAATTTTTTTAAAAAGCAAAAGCTCTCAAAAGCTTTGGTTTCCTCACTTAAACACCGGGGAACCATAATAGTTCCTGTTTCATAGGATGCAGGTAGGAATGGGCTATGACAATTGAGATAAAGAGCTCAGCCCTGTGCTGGACAGAATGGGCCCCCCAAAGGCTGGCCTTTATTATCAACACTGTCAACCATCTGCTGACCGTTCTTTCCTGGCCACAGGGAGGTGTCCCCTGGGTGGAGAACCAGCCAGCTCAAGATCTGAATAGTGCCCAGAGCTTCATGAGCCCCAGACACTCTCCTAAAGCCATTTATAAAACCCTACATTTGACTATAAGGAAAACACAAATTAAGTGTCACCCATTTTCTTACGTCCTCGGGACCATCCCATGTGAGACTTCTGACAACTGAGATCTTGATCAGTGCTGAGGAGAACCTCCCACAATGCTGGGGATGTTGTTCATCTCCAAGGTCCATGCAGTAGCCACGGACCACTGACACTGATGAGTGGTCAGTGCATTGAAGAAATTGCATTTAGAATTTATTCCATGTTGATTCCTCTACATGTCGGTGTGTACATTAGTGGTTATTGTGTGGGACAGCACAGGAACCTGCCAGAATGCCCTCTCACACTCAGTTACCCACAGGGCTTTTGCTTGAGATGGGCAGGGTGTTCTTTATTGTTGGAAGGTGAGGAAGCCTGTCTGTCATGTTGTAGGATTATTTTTCTGTATACTCGGCCTTTATCCACAGGTTCCAGTTGCTAGTAGCACCTCCTGGTAGGGACAATCAGAAATGTCTCCTGATACTGCACAAATGTTGTGGGAAGAGGAACCGTCCATGGGGAGCCACTGAAGTAAAGTCAGATGGAAACCAGGCAGTGTCCACTCCAACAGTCTCCCTGGTCTGACCTTGCTGGTGGCTCTGGGCTAGTTCTGGACAAGGGCTCTTCCTGGGCCAGGAGGCCTTACTTTCCCTTCTTAGCATGCATTTTCAGGTGGAGCGTCAAGGTGGCCAGGTGCCTGAAGGTCCTCCCACACTGTGCGCAGGGGTCCGGCCTGTCTGCGGCGTGGATTCTGCGGTGGTTATTCAGGGTGGTCCTATCAGTGAAGCCTTTCCCACACTCGGTGCACACAAAAGGCTTCTGCCCCGCGTGCAGCCGCTGGTGCCGTATGATGCTCGACTTACACCGGAAGGCCTTTCCACAGCCCTGGCACCGGTGCAAGGAGTCCTCCCCGTGGCTTTTCTGGTGCTTGAGGAGGGCTGCCTTGCTGGGGAAGGCTTTCCCACACTCGGGACAGTCCTCGCGGGCTCCCGGCACGTGGATCTGCTTGTGCTCTGTCAGGTGAGCACGGTTCCGGAAGTGCTTTCCACACTCTTCACACTTGTGCGGCTTCTCCGCTTGGTGGAGCCGGCGGTGCTCCACGAGGTGTGAGTTGACTCTGAAGGTTTTCCCACACTCGCGGCAGCAGTAGGGCTTCTCTCCCGTGTGGATCCTCTTGTGCTCGGTCAGGGACGAGCTGCGGCCAAAGCACTTCTTACACTCCTCGCACTTGTAGGGCTTCTCCCCGGTGTGGATCCTGCGGTGGCGAGTGAGCTTCGTGCTCTGCTTGAAGGTCTTCCCACACTCATTGCACTTGAAGGGCGTCTCCCCGGTGTGGATCCTGAAGTGGCTGCTGAGGGTGGAGCTGCTGTTGAAGGCCTTGCCGCACTCCTTACACTTGTAGGGCCTCTCCCCCGTGTGGATGCGGCGGTGGGTGAAAAAGTACCAGCTGTGTCTGAAGGACTTCCCACACACGTCACACTTATGTGGTTTCTCTCCTGTGTGGATTCGCTCATGCTCCACCAGGTGGAGGGTCTGGTTGAAGGTTTTTCCACATTCCTTACATTTAAAGTGATTCTTACCCTTTCGGGGGCTCTGAGGCTTTTTCTTGGAGCCCGTGGCACTTTGTGTTTTCTTACCAGTGCCTTTTTCTGGGGTCTTCTTTCCTTGACGGGTTTTCTTTGGTGCTGAGGTTCCTGGTTTTTGACTGGAAGGTTCCTTTGGGGCCACGGGTTCAGGCTCTTTCTCAGCAGGGGACACGCTCTCTGGTGCTGAGGTTGATGGCTTTTGA